ATTTTGAAAGGGATATCTCAACATCGTTTATTTAATTTATTCTTTTATTTTTATTAGCAACTGTAATAAGAGAATACCAATAATATACAGTAATTTATTCGCCCTTGGGATAATCAACACCTGGATTAATATTTATTCATAATACTTATCTATTACGTGGTTAAAAAATAACCCAGTTTAGAAAATATTATAAAATCTATTTTTCTTTTGATCCATGATAATAATAATAATAATGATTATTATTATTATTATATAATTAAATAAATTAAATCAACAAAGATTTGCAGAGCACTATGGGGCCTACAGCTTGTAAGAGAAGAGTTATTTAAATCAAAGGCTAAATTTAATTGTAATATTTTGAAAATTTATTTTAGATTTGATGAAAAACAATATAACCTATATAAAGATAAAATTAAATTTTATTATCATTAATATATGTTTTTAAAAAAAGTATTTTGGATTTGTTTAATATCAACCCAGTTATTTATTTTTACATAATTCAAATATATCATTACCAGATAGGAAACCAGAAAAAAATTGTAAGAAATCTTTTAAAAATTTTAAAAGGTTAAAACAAAATTTATAATTATAATATAATTTTCTTTTATTATTCGTGCTAATCTGATGTATATAATTCTTGAGCACAGCAGAAATATGTGCAAAATGATTTTATTTTGTCCTGGTGAATTATTTTTGGTAAAATTATTTTTAAAAAGTTCAACTTTGAATTCATTAATGCAATCTTAAAATATAGGATTAAAATATCTTAACGTATCTTTTATATACCTGAGTTTATAAACAACTGCTTTTAACTGAATAACATTTCAAATTTATTTGGAAAAGAAAATAACTAACAATAATAAAAAAAATGAATTAAAAAGAATAAATAAAACTCCTCTTAATAGAATGCGTGTTCAATTTAATGGCTTTGAACTACATATATATATATATATATATATATATATATATATATATATATATATATATATATTTGTTAACAATGTATATTTTAAATTACCTAAAAAAATCTTATTTAGTTCTTCAGCTTAAATGATATTTCTACTTCTTTCTCTCTGTGGTATATATATTTAATTATTCTCCGCAACATGATCTAAAAGCTTGTGTCGACTCCAATATGCTTATAAATTTGTCTCTACGCTTAATTTTAGTTACCCGTGATCTAGTGTAGACATATCATTAGAGTGCTACCATAGGGTAGTTTCTCAACAAGTGTTTTTACGTCATTATATCAGTATGTTCAAATTTACTAAGTGTATTTCTTTTATACAGTTTTAAATATCATTAAGAAATAAAAAAATTAGTGACTGCAACCAATATTAGTAGGAAGACGTTAGATTCGTTTTTGATGCTTTTTAACACTGTAAATGCGATTTTTACAGAAATAAAAAAAATCAGAATTCAATACGTGATTTTTGGATTCTTGGAGGATTTTTTTCCAGCTGTTAACTACAGTATTCACGATTCCTCAAGATTTTCTCCGAATTCAACGTTATTATAACCGTTGGAAAGTTGAAGTAATACTCTCTCTACACACATCAATATAGTTTTTGTGGCTGTCGACAAAGTTTGGAAGGGTTCAGCCTAGGAAAGTATATCGTGCATAAATTTTTCGATTGCTTAAAAAAATCGTATTTAAGTGGTTTTTGAAGTGCGAAAAATGGATATCGACATTCTCTCTCAAAAAAAAAAAAAAGTTAGTCTCTGAACGTTTTAGTGAACTTCAACCATATTTATCGATAAGAAAACACATTAAGGGAACTACGTAATGAAAAATTTTCTAGAGTAAATTGGCTACAGTTTTCCAGATTGAGTGAAGTTTATAGTTAGTGTTTCGTTGCTTTGGATTGTAGAGGCTTATTATGAAGCTGAAAGCTTTTCCCAATAAAGGTTTTATTTAACGCAAAAATATGTTTTCAATTTGAGCTGATAGTTCTTGATTACCGCTTTCAAACGAACTCTCTAGCTAACTCTCTCTCTCTCTCTCTCTCTCTCTCTCTCTCTCTCTCTCTCTATATATATATATATATATATATATATATATATATATTAGTTAAAATATAGTTTTCCTAGCTCTATAGTTTAAATAAAATGAAATAACTGTAGATTAAAAAAAAAATTGCAACTATTTATTCAGTTGGACTGGGAAAATGCACACTTGTTCAAACTTAATTACGAAAACAAATTTTCCTTTGTTTATCAACAAATAAGTTGATAACAACTGATAGTCGATTTGAAAGACGAACTCAAAAAGTAATTAAATATTAATTATCTCAATCATTATTCATTGCCGCCTCAACAAGCCTTCTTGAGCTATTCCTTTTCAGTTATCTGTAACAGCTCTTTTGCTATCTATCTATTCTATCTATCCATCTGCTTTTTGGTCTTTCACGTAGTATCTTGCATATTACAGAGGAATTCTTTGTATGTAGAGGCTTCCACTCTGTTGGATTTCTCTGAACTAAACGTCCCCATCTTAACCTCCTTGCCTCCATATTATGGAATATTGATTGACTAGTTTTTGTAAGCGGTTATTTATTGGCCCTTCTCCTTCAGACGTTAATAATCTTATCACAGATCCCTCCGGTTACCGCGGGGAGGATTTTTCAGGATTGCAATACTTTTAAAAGGGAGCAGAAAGCTCTGTTTACGCTAGTTATACGCTGATATATTGTGCACAAAGCTTATCAGCTTTGATATTATACAGATCATTATCATACCTAGATTTTATTGATCCTCTGGTGTGGGAAACAGAAGAGGGAAAGTCGAAAAAAGTAAACTTGAATTCCAAATTTCGACATGAAATGCCTGGTTATGTAGTTACTGGCAGTCATTTTATGTTTTAAGATGTTAAGCACTATAAACCTAAAGAGTCGATAACAAAATAGTCCGTGGTACAGACCTTTTTTTTTATGAAATTATTAACATCCACCTGAAACTTTGTAAATAGTTTCATCTCATCGTAACCTACAACTATTTTATTTACGGAAACTCTTAGAATTGGGGCGTTTTAAATCTGGATGAAGGCAAACTTTGTCTATTTAATTAGGTACTAAAAACTCGTAAATACCCATTTGCTTTACACTTGCATTGTAAGATAATTTGAGCTCAAAGTAAAGAAAAAAGGTGGCCCTCAAAAATATTGAGCCGTTTGGCGTGACCTACAGCTCCAACATTTTAAAATAACGAGGTTATATAGGCCATTTAACCAAATATTTTTGTAGGTCACTATTTTTATCGATTTTGTGATTAAATTATCTCACGATCCAAGTGAGAAGCAAATGGGTATTTACGAGTTTTTTTATCTAATTAAATAGACAAAGTCTGCCGATCTCCATATTTAAACGTCCCAATCCCAAGAGTTTTCGTAAATAAAATAGTTGTAAGTTACGATGAGATGAAACTATTTACAAAGTTTCAGGGGGATGTTAATAATTCGATAAAAAGGGGTCTTTACCACGGATTAAAACATATTCTCTATTTATACGGTGTGTTCCGTAAGTAGATGGAAATATTAAAACATGTAATATTACACCTCAAAGAGCTAAAAATTTTTTTGATAAACAATGATCCAATTTTCGGCGAAAAAGTAGGAAATTTACATTTTGCGTTTGTTTTAAGAGCCACGTTTTTCGATGAATAGGAAGCGATAACTAAAAAAAAAAAAGAGACGAATAATTAATTTAAAAAAAAAAACGACTTAGCTTAGTTTAGTCGCACAAAAACCCTCTTTAAATGATTTTAACAATGACAAAATCTATTTTCATTTAAATAAATTTTATCTAGTTTACTTTGAAGAAATTCCTAATTACTTACATTAAATGTTTTTTTAGTTATCGCTTCCTATTTAACAAACACTTGAAAAAACATAAAACTTAAACATATTTTTTTTTCTGCCGTAAATTGGACCAATGTTTATGTAAAGTTTTTTTGTAGTTCTTGAGGTCTACAATTACTTGTTTAAATATTTCTCTCTATTTACGGAACATCCTGTATATTAGAAAAAACAGTAGAATATTGTACGTACTAGGACAGATTCCCAATTAACATCATTTGCAGCCCTCATAAATACAATAGTCCGTATTACAGAGCCCTTTTTTAAGAAATTATTAACATCCACCTGAAACTTCGTAAATAGATTCACCTCATCGTAACCTACAAATATTATATTTACGAAAATTGTCGTAATTGATGCGTTTTCAAATTAGAGATCGGCAAACTTTGTCTATTTAATTAGGTACTAAAAGATTATGAATACTCATTTGCTCATTGAGGCGTTTGGCCCGTCTAACCTTGTTATTTTGACATTTTAGGGGGTGGAGGTAGCGCAATACAGACTAATATTTTAGTAGGGCACATTTTTTTTCGACTCTGTGGTCATATTATCTTATGAGGAAAGCAAATGGGTATTCATGAGTTTATAGTACCTAATTAAATAAACAAAGTTTGCCAATCTCAAGATTAAAAACGCTCCAATTCCGAAAATGTTCGGATAAAAATAAAATATTTTTAAGTTACGATGAGATGAAGCTATTTACTTAGTTTTAGGATAATGTTAATAATTTGATAAAAAGAGTTCTCTACCACGGACTACAAAAAATACATACGTTTTAAAACTCATTGGAGTCGACCTAAGAGATGAATGTTTTTTGTTAGAAAAAGTATATAAAAATTTCTAAAAAAGAACAGGAAAAATAGAAAAAAAAGAACTAAAAATAGAGTTTACGCTGAAGTTTTCTTTAAATTTTTTAAAACATACTGTGTTCGAAAAAACAGCAACATATCATTTATTTATTTCATGAATTAAAAGAATGATTTAGTAAAGTGTTTTGAGTTAATATATTATTTTTACTTAGTTTTAGTAAATTTCAAGTTTACTACTGTTTTTTACAAACAGCGTTCATAATGCATGTTTACACCAGGTACATATATGAATACATACATCTCTACTATTATAATTTATATATAACAATATTACTTACAGTGGATGTTGTCCTTTGGTATCCAGTGGTATATGAGCCAGGCCTGAAGCTCGCATAGGGTTGACATAGTCACCATACCTAGAACAGACAGACGTACCCTGATATAGAAGGACCAGTACACGACAACACACACACACACAGACACACAGACAATATGTTACTGAAGTGGGTTCACACACCTTCCCCCTATATTTCTCCCCTCCCCACCTCAACGTACAAACTCTCACCTGGCCCCACGATGCCTTTTCGATCTTCATTAGAACCGCAAGGAAGTGATCTGATGCACTTCCTATCGAGGCTTAATAACCTCTCCAGGTATTGCTGATAATATTAATTAACTCTTGAAGCGAAATTTAAAAAAGGTAAAAATAAATTATGTTTGAAAATAATAATTATTCTGAAAATCTTTAACTTTACATATGCAGTCAGTTAAATCCTCGAAAAAAATCAGGAAAAATGTTCTGAAGAAAAGTAATTTTAGTTCTGTATAACTCAAAATGTATACATTTTAAAGACTAGGGCGGACCAACCCCCACTTTACAAATTACACAACTGTTCTTTTAATTGTACTACTTGTTGTTCTCTATTATTCTCCATAACTTTAATTTACATGTATTCTGTATAAGTCCCAATATCTCTGCAAAATTTCGTGTGAATAGGTGGAAGAATGTTGAAGTTATAACACTGTTTGTGATTTTCGAAATAAAATCAAAGAGAGGAGCCTTAGGTGAAATTTGTATAAAAAAAAAAAAAAATTATTTTTCGCAATGAAAATTCGTATTCAAGGGTCTTTCGAGCTGCGAAATACAAATCTAAACTCTGTTTATCCTTAAAAAATATGTCAACACACTTTACTCCTTCCGTCATTACAAATTGTTTAAATTATACATATTTATAATCGATTTTTACGATTTTTTTTGTTTTGTAGCTAATTTAGTAATCTTTCTAATTATCATGGGTACAATAAAAAAAAGTATATTTATACTTTTTGAGTTATTTGCAAATAAAGTTTATTTCCTTTATAACCTTTTTTCCAGAAATTTTGGGAGGATAGGACTATTTTTCGCATGTGAAGGAGAAGAATATCTTCAAAATGAGTGGTCAATCATTGGATTTGATGAATAATTGACGAAGTTATGGCGTAACGAGAAAAAAATACCTTTTAGAAATAATATATAGGACTATATTCTTATTCTTATATAATTATTCTTATTGACAAATTGTAACCATAATATATATTCAATTGTTTTGTCCACCTTCAAATAATAATTATAATTTGAGACTTTTATATATAATATTTTCATTGCATGTTATATTGTGCTTCTTTTTCTATTTTATAATAATTATAATAATATCACAATATAATATAAATAATATTATATATAATATAATAATTAATATATTGTAGTCAAGGGGAAATGTGTATATAAAAACATAACTGCTGTCACCTATATAAAATCAAGCTACCACATCCAGAAGAATAAATACTACTTTGCATACAAATTTTTAGTTTAAAATCTTTATTTGTATTAGGAGAGTAGAAGATAACAGGATCTCAACACATGTGTAATTAAATTAACAGCTGTGTAATTAGTGCTAATAATAGAGCTAATAGGAGAGAGAGCTCCTGTAATCTCCTACTCTCATAATACTAAAATAAAATAAAATACGAATGTCACTAAAAACTTTTTTATATTATAGAGATAAAAGTTTATATAATCTGTATGTAATTAAACTCTCTATAAAATACAAACACATAAAGAAATTATATAAAATAGTTATCCCGTGCGAATAATTCACACAATATGTTGGTCAGCAATAAAATGATAAAATAATAGGAAAATAAAATAATGGGAGGTATCATAAGATGAAGATCAATGTATAATTGACAAAAAAAATGAAAATTAATTTAACACTTCATTCATGTTTTGCACCAACATTTTTACAAATTTCAATAAGTTGTATCTTTGCTAATTATAATCTGATTTCAATGATTTATTTTTCATTTTGTAGGGGAATTTATTAATCGTTTAAATCATGGGTGTAATCCACAAAAAATATTGGAAAATGTATACTTTTTTAGTTATTCGCATATAAAGTTTCATTTCCTGCATAACTTTTCCCTCTAAAATTTCGAGAGATTAGACTATTTTTCTGACCCGAAGGAGAAGTAAACCTTCAAAATGATGGCTCAATCATGAACTGAATTTATTCTTCATCTGATGAAGAATAAACGTAAATATGGTTCACCAAAATAAAGCTTGTTAAGCCAATAATATCTATTGAGAAATAATATATAAAGATATTTTAGGAATGACATCATCCCGTCTCGATCCATCGACATTCGAAACCACATTTTTCAATGACTTATTATTGCTGTTGTAAGCATTGAAGGATCGAAATTGGGATTCGCCACTTCTTAATGAAATTCCCTTTCGTTTGATATCTCATTCCTCAAAATCCATCGCTCCTGGGAGCTGGAAAAGGGATCTATACTACCGCATTATGTACAATGTAGATTGTCATGTTCAGTGGCTAATGTAGATAGATAGGGTTCGAATCCGGTTAATGAAAATTATTTGTTCTGTCTCATCAGCCGTGGATTGACTATAGGATCAGGAGACCCTCCTGGGGTACACCCTCTATAAAGTGGGTACTTTTAATTAAAAAAATAATTAAGGTGGAATTGAAGTAGAGAAGTTGACACCATGAAAAAGAGAGATGAGAGTGAAGCAGAGTTAAGGAATCGGATCCAGGAATTAGATACAAATACAAGCCTTGGCAATCTATGGATTCAAATAAAGGATAGTATTCTATAGCTACTGTAGTGTGTGGGGTGATAAAGATTAGCACGAAAGGTAAACGTACATCATGGTGGAGCGAAGAATTGAGGAAGTGCTACTGTCGGTACAAAACGCCAGAGAAATGGCAAGCATACGTGTTGGTTCGAAAAAAAAAACGAAAGAAGCAGTAAGAATGGCGAAATAGAAATCGTGCAAAGAATTTGGAAGAAACTTGTATCGGGAAAACATCAGCTCTATAAGAGGATGTAAAAGCAAAGTAGTGAGAAACATGAAGAGCGAAGAAGGAAAAGTGGTCACAGATGACAGAGCTATCTTGGACGTCTGGAGACATCATTACATGAACTAGAAATAGGGAAGAATGGAATTCCTGGCTGAATGCTCCTTTACGCTGAGAGGCACTAAAGAGGAAAGCTAAAGAAGAAAAAGGAAAACCTGGCGGTAGAGCGCGATCCTGACCCGATCACTTCCCTCCACAACTGCTTTGCAATAAACAGTATTTATTTCAAAAGCAATGAATTCAAGATCCTTCATGGGTTGTAGTTATACAGTTTTTGCACTTTTTTTTTATTATGATTATTGAGATAATTATTTATTCAATGGCATGTATTGAAGACTTTCGACAAATCCTATATTATTTTTAAAATAATTGTTTATTATTTTTTATAATAAAAAATACTCTATACTTAAAGATTACGACTAGTCATAGACTTCAGAGGAGACCCCTAGAGGAAATTCGTCTTGATAGCGACCCCAGGTGGCACGGAACAGCTGCTAAGGTCTATCAAAGAACCAGTTGGCAAGGCCTGGTCAAAAGGCAATGGATTACAACCCTTCGAGCCAATAATTCTTCTTTATTTACAAGTAAACTTAACAAAGAATATTTTCTTACAAAGAATTTAATTATGAAGTAACGCGTAAATATATACAATGTCATTCGCACGTGTTTCATTCTCTTCTCCTAAATCACCTACTCGGGTGCTCGAGAATTTATTAGCCCGGGGAGTCAAATATTTTAAGACTGTCACTGAATATAATAGAAATATTATGGAGTGGATAAAATGTAGAATAAAATTAATATGTCGTTTGATATATGTTTGCGGATGTGTGTGTGAAAAAGTTCTCTAATGTCACTCACCTCTTATTCTGAATTTTACAATCCTAGATTATTTCAGCGCATTTGCAGATAGTCAGTTAAGAGTTTGATAGAAATACAAAATTTTAAGAAACTTTTTTATATAACGTTTCCTATTTTAGGACTATTAGGTTTAGTTTTAATCTTGGAATATTTTTTAATTGACGCATAAATATTTTTCAAAGGAAAGGAAGGCAGCTTAGTTTAAAATACACTGCACTTCCATGCTCAAAAGTCTCTGGGTTCGAGTCCGGCTGAAGTAGAATTTTTATTTTCAAAATTTTATCACGATGAGGGTGAGATAAGAATTTTTCTTTTTCATCCCTTCCTTGCATTTTAGGCTACATGAGGATTTTTCAGGGCATGGGGAGAGGGCGATCGATTAATGCTAGAGTCGAAAGTACCCCGACACCGGTACGCGAGCTTGCAATATGAAAGCTATTGAATTTACTAAAAGAAAAAAAAAATGTTGATGTTTTGAATTATTAAAAATCAATTCAGAAAAGTTCCTGAATTACTGTTAAGGGAAATAAATAAGAAATGTCGATGTTTTTAAGCCGATGTACCAGAAACATCAAAATTTGACATTTGTATTCGAACATCAATATATTGATATTTTGGTCATCATAAAGCCAAAAATTTTGAAGATTCCTATGTTTGGAAGTCCTGGAGTAACGTGTCTTCTTTTTTAATATTGATGAAAGATGTGTTGTTTTGTTAGTCTGCATATATGTGATATAGGTTCTTCTCTGTGCTGATGCCTGATTTGTCGAAAAGTTGATGGGTTGGTTAGTTTTTACTTGCATTTGAAGGTAAGTTTATACATTACACAAATTATAAGAAAGACGATTGTCTAAATGGGATGTTTCTTTAGGCTTGTCCCCTGTGATCGATCTTTCTTCTGTTGATTTTTCAAGAGAAATCCAAGGAAGTTTTGGTAAACGCTTGTTGTGCTTTTACACATTTTTTTTACTTTCGTGTTGCTTGAGAGATATTGAATTTTGAATTTAATGGTGCGCTTTAAATTAATTTTTTTCATTCATCATTATCATTGAGGAATTTCACACCTTCTTTCATTTTCTTTTACTTATTTATTTATTTTATTTTTATTCATTTATTGTGCGCAATTCCCAACACCAATG